TGACCAATGATAGTTCATGTACATGCCTATATGTGGCTGCTGAATACATAAAAAGAATAGTAAATTTGGTTAAGAAATGTTTTAGTTTAGGTCATACTAAAATGCAACAATAATATAAGCGCATGCATATGCAAGAGACTATGATAACTCGATCGAATCATATTTCTCTGGACAATGGCATGGAAAGTGTTCATTATGTGGAACCTTATAGGACCAATATATAGAAAGTTCTATATTTAAACAGTTAATCGATTTTATACGCCTTGATACGATAAATGTTACGTTAATAGGTCAAGTTTTACTAATTTGGCCGAGACACTCTTGGACACCATTTAATTACCTTTACTTGACCTGTCATTTGTGATCGTCTTTGTTGATACTTGAAAAGACCTACACTCTCCAAAATAAAATTATGATTGCAATTTTAGTTTTACTTAATAGTCCTTGACAATTTCATATTTGCTTCATCATGTGCTAAAATTCTTGTCATTTACGAAATTGTTTGTCTAAATTTATAATAATTAGGTTCTAACGCATTGCGTTAAATTAATATTGTGGTAACGAATTCTTTTTTAATATAAAGCAACTGGATCATATTTTTAAGATTAAAAAATTATTATCATGCTTTTAACAAATTATTTAATAGTACGTTTTTAATACGAGAAACAAATTTTAATACTTTCCTTACAGCGATAATTATTTTTACATAAATTTTTTTCTGGGAGTTCATTAATTTCTAGTTATTTAAGCTGATTTTATGTAAGAGACTAACAATGGGTAATAAAGCTAGTTCATGTCACGCTAGATTAATGTAGCAAATTCGATATTAAAAAATCTGATGCAATTAACTCGTAAGTTTCCTTCAAGAAATCTTTGTTATAAACGATTCCGATCCTCTCATATTGATCGAAAATAACTTTTCAATATAGTTACCACATAGCCCTGTATATATCAGTTACTATGTATATTCACTCATGTCAAGTATATCGTCGATTGAGATTCAGAACATGAATATTGACATTCTACGCACGTTTTCCTTGCTCTAGCAGATATATTACGAGCCACTGAACGGAATAATATTGAACACGAACAAAGATTTTTTTCTATTTCCTAACTTTTACTGAATCTAATTGTAAGTCATCCCGTATTCTTATTCGCATTTTTATCGCACGATGAAAAAATAAAAAATAAAAATCGGGAGCTAGACGATAAACTTTTTTTCTTATATTTGCCAGGTTATTTTATTAAAAGGAAAAAAAAATAACGAAAAATAGCAGATAAAAATCTTTTACGAATCGATTATAATAATATAAAAATTTAGTTATTTAATTGTTGCATCATTTTTATTCTATTGTTTTAATTATTTTCTTTATATTTAATAAAAAATAATAAATAATTATTATTTATAAAAATTAATTTGTTTAATAAGTAATACCAATTTGTCTCTATTTAATATTACTTTTCAACGATTTTAAATGAAGAAAAACTTGTTATTCTAATTTAATATTAATACAAACGAGTAAAATTCGAGAAAAATTTACAATCTAATACAATTATTTAAAAAATAAACGTTGGAGTCGTGTCATTTGGATTAAAAACGACAACGTTGCACGCTGGAAGAGACACATATTCTTCATGAAATCTATGCTCTCGAGGATCGCATAAAATGTATTGTTTACATTTGGAGGCACGTAAAACGTACTAATCAATGGCATTATTTATCAGCGAGATAGGTCCAAATTCTTCAAACGGTAGATAAATCGTTTACTGCGTTTCTTCTTTCCGTGAAAAATACAAAATAAAAATGAAAGGAATCCTTTGCGTTGGTCATGGAATGATTTCGCGTCATTTTAATTATTTTAATTGAACTACTTAATACGCTTGTATTTAAACTGTAAAAAAGTCGATAACGTTTATTGAGTTATAAGAAAGTTCTATTATTTTTAAGAATAAATAGAGTGTGTGAGAGATGAGTTTTGATGCGGATTGGTATTATACCATTACTATTTTATATACTTTAAGAAGACGATAAATGCATACTACGACGAAGCTGCGATAAAAGAACTCGAAGTAGTAGTAGTAGCAGCATGCCAGATGAAATTTGTGATGTTATTATTGTTGCATATACATATCAAAACTTTCAGGCGTGATGGGAAAATTGAAAAATAAATAAATGATAGTAGTGATAGTTTAATCACAAGTATCGTTATTAAAATTTTGTTATAAATTTAATTCAGATTTTAAACGAGAATTTCTATATTAATTTCTGAAGCTAAATTAAATGGAAACTTTCATAAAATTAGAAACGGTGTAAAATGGAGGAGGGGGGGGGGCCGAGGGACTGTGTTGTATGTTCTAAACACAAAGAAAAGGATAGCACAGGCGTCAAACAAGTGATTATTGCGACCCTTGTTCAATTAAACTGAAAATGTACAGGGGGATGATTGTTTCCAAAGATGTCTAACACCATGAAGAATCGCAATAGTGTTCATATTTAATTTACAAAAAAAATATTATATTTACAAAGTATAAATAAAACAAAAGAGACATGCACAAAGCACGTGTGATTTTTCCTATTTTAAATAGAATTTTGTATGTCAGATGAAACTATTCGAAGCAAAAATTTGCCGAAATTGTTTATAAGGAGTGTACCCACCCATAGTTGTTATTTTTGGAACGTTATGGAAACTTAATAAAATTATATGATTTCGTTAGGATTACAGATCGTACACATACGGTGGGTATTACAAAAAATTCCCTAGGAACAGCCGATTTCGAGAAAGTAAGGGTTACAATTTCATTAGTATCTCTAAATTTTATTATATATTCATTTCTCTAACAACTTATTTCTTTAGATCATATTTTGACAGACGTTGTAGCGCGGTTAATCTGTTTTACTGTTGTCACACCAGAGCGGTGTCTAACGCGCAATTTATTATTTTTGAGCGCTCCAAAAAATTCATGTGTTTGTAAAAAGAGATTTAATTTAAATTAATAAAATTATATTATTATAAGTATCAGTTATTATACGTCACAATACAAATGACGAAAAAATACGGTCAAATGTGTTATTGACATAAATTTTATGATATTATAATTTTTTGACTATAATAATCTTTACTCTATTTATAATGAAGGAGGAGGAGTCAGTGCTTTAAGGGCAGCTAACATCCTCACAGTTCTCAAAAATTATGTACTGGGTATGTCTTGATTTCCATACCCCGCCGTTCCGGAGACAGTCCGGCGCGCTATGTAAGTAGCGAGCACCCTTTTTAATAAACGTTGGTATTTTACGGTATCTTATATAGGATTTTTATCACATGATCATAAGTGAGAGAGCATTAACATATTGAGCCATCTATTGACTCAATGCCGAACTAATTTTGCCGTTAGAATTGCATCGTATAGGCGTAAATTTTACAAATTCACAATTTAACTTTAAATAATCACAAAATTCATACGTTCGATACGTTTTATTTATTTACGATAATATTTAAATTTTCGTATTGCGAGCTTTTCATTACACTTAAGTAAAAATAAAAAAATATAAAAATTCTATTGCGACGGTGCGTACCAAATTTCCCATTCCATTAAAGTAAAAATGAAATAGTAAAAAAGAACAAGAATAATACAAAGATATAAAATTTGAATTGAATTTATAATAATCGATGAAAAAAAAACGGCAATATTATACGTTGTCACGTATTTTCTGCATATACATAAATGCATACATAGATGCATAGCTATATGCATATATGTTACGTGTAATAATTTCTATACATAAAACGTGTAATATACTGATACTGTGGAATTTTCGAATAATTCTCCAACGTAAAACTAGAAATGTCGCGTAACACAAATATGTACGTAACGTATAGGTAAGACTATAAGTGTGTGCATGGAGCATGCAATACATATCAACACAGACGCGAGATATAACAATGGCCAAGTAAGGAACGTGTTGAAAGAATTTGTGATACAATGCAGCAGGTCGGTAATGCTGCCGTGCTTCTGGTAAATACCTTTCGTTCAGGTTGTTTTTAATTATGCCAGTAAATTTATTTCTTAAATTTAAATACACGTTTTAAATTCATTCCATAGTCTTGTTTTTGAATATTAATGATGTTGTATCAACCTTTGATATATTATAACGTATAAATATGTATTATATATAGTAATCCACATAAATTACGAAGTTTAAATTTAACTATGTAATTTGTTAATGAATCATGTTATATGAAATTTACGAGCGATCGTGAATGTTTACCATACGTACGTGAGTTCTTTGAACGAAATAAAAAGAAAAAGAAAAAGAAAAAGAAAAAGAAAAATGTAAGATATAAAAAGAAATGTAAAAATACCGTAAAAAGAAAAATTGTTAAACGAGAGATTCATTTCAAATGAGATTACGCCCATCGAGTAAATCTCTTTCTTTCTCTAAGGAAATGTACAAATAATCGATAAAGGTTGCTGTCGCCAAGGTTGCTTAAAACCATCATTTCATCGTAGTTCGTTTTAGAATTAGAGTTTATTCGCGACCTTCTACTCGCAAAAGAGACACTACCCTCTTCCGTAAAATTAATGGCTTATTTTCTGGACCTTATGATTTAAAACGAATTTACCACACACTTTCTACATCCATATTAATCCATCTTCTATGCTTTATCTTATAATTAATAATAAGATGAATCGTTGAAAAATTGTTTACAGTGTATCATATGAATGTTTATTTCATGTTTATTACAGTAATTTCTGTATTCCGAGAGAAAAACAAATATTAACCGAAAAAAAAAGTCTTAGAAGAGATTAATCAATCTTTTACTGTCGCGAATAAAATGTTTAGATGATCTTGACGAGATGATTGAAAATTACGTGTCATTAAAATGTAATTAAGGTTTTAATCAATTTTCGTAGTTAGAATAAAATTGAATGTTTTTAGAGTCTCTGAAAGACAAAAGTTAATAATAATTTTTAAAATGTTCATATTATTGATCATGTACCTGAAGATACGGTATGGCCTTACAAAGTCCCCATCCAAGAAACCAAGTCTCAGTGACATCCCAAAGCACACTCGGCGGCAAACATATGAGAATAACCATAAGATCAGCAACAGCGAGATTGACGATGAAGTAATTAGTAACAGTTTTCATCGAATGATTCCGAAAAATAGCCAAACAGACGAGGAAGTTACCGACGAGTCCAGTGATGAAAATGATGCTGTGCAGAGTTATCATGACCCAATCGGTGAAGTTTGGAAATATATCGTTGTACATGATGTCAAGGTATTCTTCGTCAGGTATGCAATCGTTATTTGTACAATTGCTTTCATTCATAAAATTCGTTGAAGAATACAAATCGGATTTATTCGTGGTGTCCGTTAAAAGTGGTAAGACAAATAGGAACAACGTAAGTATGAACATTTTTAAACGATCCATTTTTTCCTTTAATAAGTGTGTCTCTTCTTTTTAAAAAAAGTTCCCTCAAAAAGTGCAGATTGTGTTTTCCAAGGAATATTCTTATAAATTTCCAACTGTTATAGAAACGAAAATATGGTTGAAGGAGGAGTCTTATAGATCGAGAAAGATGAATTACTCAGTGTTTATCTCGACGTCTATGTCATCCTCTTAAAAGAAGTAAATATATCGGGGGGTGGTGTCCCTCACGTGCTATAAATTAAATATGAAAACATGAGCCCGCGGGTCTTGTATACAAGATGTTGGAGAAATAATGTATGAATATAAATTTATATATTATATATTGAATTGCACAAGTGCATGGGTATGAAATTTTACAGGTTGATAGTATTCATGATTATTAGCAAATTAACTTAAGACATATACATACATATGATATAAGATAATTATTATCTTATTATATTTATTATTGTAATATTAATTTGTTAACCTAAGACTTTTATAACAACTTATGACTTTAATTGCAAAATAAAAAGGTGCCGGAACTCGTTTCTTGTGAAGCTTTTCATTAAAGAAAACTGTGTATTCAAATATCATGTAAATAAGATTAAAAGTAGCTTTTCCTATATCACGGAGCTCATAAAAAAAAAATTAAATATAATTTATCTTAATTTTTGTTTTCATTTTAGACATGATCACATAAAGTTAAACAAACAAATATAAATTTGCAACCGAAGACTAAATATAAAATAAAATTTGTTCTTCTATATTTATTCTTATTCGCTTCTGAAACATTAAAAATACTGTAAAAAAAGATGCTCGAACGCCACTAACGTTCTAGTGCGTTACATAAAAACAAAAAAAAGCATTGATTTATGATTAAAACAAAGAGATATTTTTTGTTCCTTATAATCAGAGATTTTCGGGGGCCTACCTAATTAACCTAAATTAATGAAATTCAATTGAGTTAGTTGTGGACAACTAATTTGTCATTTTGTCGAAGAACTTATTTTTTCTCTTAAATGGTTAATGTCAATTGTTTTTAATTTTATTTTTTTACATACCATAAAGATCATACTTAAATTTGCCCTTGCCTATAATGAATTCTATCAACTTGTAAAAAATTGATATCTACAAATCTACAAAACATTTTGATATATCGTGCTTTATTATTTTACGCTTACCATTTTTTCTTCGATATCATCTGACAACATGTCAGCTTGGTAATGGTTCTGGAACGTTAAAGTTTCTCTACTTTCTCTTATGATCACCCACAAATAGAATCTTTTCTAGAATTTCTTGAAGTTGAATTAGCAACTTGATACAAAGTTTTTCTTCTTCTTTTCATTATATGCACACACAAACTGACTCCCGAAAGAGTTTGCAAAATGTCAACTCGTAGGTTGATCCAACCCGCAATGTTTATCCTTACGTGTTTGAATTTGTCCGAATAAGTTTAATTTACGGTTATTCTACACGAAATAATTTCGTATCGACGAGATGCACCAGTGTTCATTAGCAAAGTTCGATTCGAGTATATAAACTCAATTTCGCTCGTATACACTTTGCGATCATTCGTTGTTAGTTCAATTGAGCAATAAAGGCTGTCCTAGCTATAAACGTCACATTCAAACGTACACATTATCGTTAGAATATATATTTCTATCTTTTCGAATTTAATATTTATTGAATTAATCAATAAGTAATGTAGGAATTTTTAGAGTACAAAGTAGATCGAAATAATTCTCTCTCTTGAAATTATTTTACAAATTGGTTGTTATCTTTAGTTACTTTTTTAAAATTAATTTGTTTCTGATTTTCCAAATAAGTTCTAGAAGTACATTTTCATCATTTCAGAAGGACGAATGTTAGCTTAAAAAATCTTCAAATAGAATATTTCATTTTTGCAATCATTTCGCAAGTTTTTATTTATTTAAAAACTTTTGGTGTACTCCGTATTAAAAATTTAAACATCAAATATTGGCCTATCCAATACACGTATATAATCCAATCCTCGAAGTAAATCTGTATTGCAAAAAATGTAAAAATAAGTTCTTTCGTAATTCTTAATATTGCAGTAAGGGTAAATACCAGTAATAATTCATTTTCCACTTACGATATTATCTGAAAATAGTCGTAATTCTATTACATGTCTCCCGAATAAACAACTAAATAAACTAATTGAATTGGAATTTCATATCGTAGAATCGCATTATTTATTTTCAAAAAAGATCTTATTCGATTATCTTTTTATGAAAGGATTCTTTTAATTGAACAATTTAATTGATATAACAATTATTCTAGTTGAAAAATGTAATAACAAATTTTAAAAAATGATCACAAAGTCTTGTTCGAACGCTTGTTTCTAATTTTCGAGTATTAACATTCTACCCGAACTCTAATTTCTATTCAAATCCTCTAATCCCTAATTTCTATTCAAAATGGCGTGCGTATAAAATAAAATAAAAATAAGTTTTACATTAACGATGTATATCATGCATCCTAAATATGACATTTTTTTGTCAAATTAAAAAACCTTTACTTGAATTATTATAATAAACTTATTATCCTGTATGTAATCGCATAAAAAATAAATAATTGTTTGTAGGAAGAAATTAAAAAAGAAATTTTTTCTATCAACGAAAACACCGATGATTTTGGATTAGGTTAATCTTGTTTTAGTTACGATGCATTTAATTATGCTGACGATACGGAGATACTTGTTTTTCTTGGAATACTCACGCTTAAGTTTCTATCTTCCTTTCTCACTGACTATATCTACCAGCGAGTGAATTAACGCTTTTCAAGCGCCATAGTGGGCGTATTAAATCTAATTAGAAAATAAATATCCTTTATAATCTACGTCGTTACACGCAACAGCGAAAGCAAAAAGCTCCTGTGCATCCAAGCACCGAATATGTGTGCACGCGTGTGCGCATACGTACATATGTTTGTAAAAAGAACTTGAATGTTTAAATTCAATTTTCAAAATAATCGTTAAAACATTGATACGGAAAATGTAATGTTTTAAATTTAAATTTATGAATTTACTTACAAAAAAATATGAAAGATTTTTGTCGTTTTTTTGTATGTAATAAATTCAAATCGATCGAATCTTAAATTAAGACAAATTTTATGCATATGAGTTTAATTGTAAGTAACAAAACTAGTTTCCGTATCGCAATTTTAATTCCTTTCTTTTTTATTTCGTTTCGTATTTTAATTATTCAATTAATCGTTAATATGATCAGAGACGGTGCAGATACTCTCTCTTTTCATAAAGAAAAGATAAATTTGCACAAAAGTTCTCTCTAATTACGACAAGTGAAAACTTTTGAAATATTCTGTAAAGCTTTAGAAGAATTATTAATTCTGACGAAAATAAGATTTAGTTTTTTTTTTTTTAAGAAAAGCGAGCGAGAGAGGGAGAGAGAGAGAGAGAGAGAGAGAGAGAGAGAAAATGAACGATTCTTCTTTATAATTTCTAGCAACTCGAATATTACATCCAAACAAATTTTGTTCTCTTTACTTTTGTAGATTCATTTTGAATTAAGAAACCTCGTCCTGAATTAGCACATAAATGAACGTTTACTTTATTAAAACAATTCCTTCCTCTAACATCTCGCGATCTACTTCTCGGTTTTATTTCATCTATAACTAATTACGCGCGTTTCATGATATTTTTATAATATTTTATAAATAAAATTGTGAAATTCTTTTACGATCATTCCATCGTTTTTCAAACAATATTTTTTACACGTTCGGATAAAATAACGATTCATTTTCATAATGAAACAACTACAAACCAAACTGTATTTATTCACTACACGAGCACGTTAAACAAACTTTAGCGACAGTAATTTAAGTATCTATTCGCTTACTTATTCTCTTTGTATATATTTGTATTTACATTAAATGCAACAGTTAGTTGAAATAATTCGTTATAAGGAATTTTTTGATTCAGTTTTAACTGGATTTTGTTTTTATTTTTGTAAACATTTATTCAAAAGACGACTCAAATCGAATTATTTAGGAAACTTATTCGCACATGAGAGACGAGAATGAGAGAGGAGAACGAGAGACGTGAACGCGCGACGACTGACTATGCGAAACTGAAGTTACCGTCGTTTTGACGAAGCACATAGATATACACCACCACTCGTGCGTAGGCCACGCCGCAGTCTCTCTGGGTTATTCGTTTCGAGGAACCTTCCTCGTTTTTCGTCTCGAATAAAATCGAATCTCTTGTTCATAGTTTGTACATGCATATGCATACATACATGTGTAGATTTTTTTTTGCTTGTATGAGTATCTTACACATCGATTTGTATTTACTTGCTATGGTTAYGYCGATTTTTTAAATATTYTTTTGGGGATTTTCAATGATCAGCGTTGGGGCGTTAAGTGGCCGCTACGGTGCCGGCGCTCAGGCATTGAATGTCTCGTACGTCGGCGGCTGTCAATGTTTTAAAATAAATTTTACCAATATTTCTCGCTTATTTTTGCAAATAACGATTCAAATTTTCTTTTTATTAATTTGTTGCTATTAAAAAAAAAAATCAACGATCATATATTCAATAAAAAAGAAATGTATAAATATGATAAAAGACTATGTAAAGC